GCATTTGTTGAGGGTGCCCTGATTCAAAGACACAAAGGATTCTTGAATGCATGTGTGGATGCAAAAACAAATGAGGACATGTTTGTTCTTATCTAGTTTTTTTGGATCTCCATTGTAAATATCGATATACCATAATTGGTGTGTTTGACCAAGTCATATACTTCATCTCCTTCCCAGGACAATCTGGCTTCAGGAACATCCGAGATGGTGGTGAGACCATCCATGCCGACAAGACCGGCCCATATTTGGTGTACATGGTGTACAGGTCGTTTCGCACGCCGCCGCCCGTTCGTTAGGACACGCTGGACAGGGGGAGAAATGATTTGCCTTTATTTGTTTGCATGTCCAAATCATTAGGCGTCCATACATATGCCATGAAGCTAAGGCTTTTGGATGAGATTGTTCAGGAAAAGAATGCAGTGAGAGACCAGTAACTGGGACTCAACATCATATACGTGTGCCTCGCACACACGCCAAAACAATTGATTTGATTGCAACATTGCGAGGTGCTCGGCCCTTATCCCACTTGAGGCACGTTACAGGCCAATGGTTTCGATATATTTCAATCATGGAAAAGAGTCAACAACATTCACGAACCTTACAACCTTACAATTCAAGCCCTTTGCGATATTCCCCCTCGACTGACAGCTGTATATATAGCCTGGTCAGGACACTGGCGAAGGAGACCAAGACCAACAAGAAGAACAAGAAGAACAAGACTGAGAGCGGGAATGGTGAGAAGGCCAAAGGAAAGGCCAAGGCCAAGAACAAATCCGGGAAGTCGAAGCCTTCAAAGGCTGCTAAGGGTAAGAAGGAGAGAAAGGGGAAATCCTCTCGACGCCCTTCCGACCCTGCAGCCGCAGAGCAGGCCTCAGAGAAGCCTACTCAGAAAAAAAGTCGCAAATAGCGACCTGAGCACAAAGGGATCGAGAATTCACTCTTCCTTCAGTTTTCTATGTGAGTTCAAGTATACACCCTCTGTATGGCTCTCTATATAGTCTGGTATTGTGGTTTGGTTTGTTGGGTATGGGTTTGGTGGATGGATCGACCCCTGCAGTGCAACAGTGCTGTTTTGGGGAGCCAGGCCATGTGGAAATCCACAAGGATCAATCCAAGCTATAGTCCGGGCATCGCATTGAAGCTCTGGGGCTTATGGAGTTTCTGTGCACCTATCTATATCTGACCTGTGGTCTTCACCACGTGTTAGAGTCTTTTGCAACCCAACGATGAGAAGATCAAAATGGTACGTGCTGCGTGTGAACTCTTTATGCATGAATGTTGGGGTTATTTATAATCACAATTCCAGTCCTTTTTTGAGGGCATGCAAACTATACTTATGGTGAATTGACCCAACCACTGTCCTCGTTCAGAACATGTCCATGCATGTTCTCTTTCACTGATATCTTCGGTCTTGAACTGCTTCCCATGCCCACACCACAACTGCCAGGGCCCTCGCATAGAGCTAGACGGCTGGCGTGGAAGTATGGCCGGGGCGAAGCTTTGCTTGTGAAAGTTGTTGATGTTGATGTCGATCTGTTCAACTCTGAATTGAAAGACCTGGGAAACAAATATAGTGTTATAGTTGTTTCACTCCAAAATACTTTGGTGCTGTGCCTTTGTGAGGCAACAGGAAGTCTCATGCATATACGAGTATATACATTTGCTGTGTCAACATTCTTTCATGATAGGTCTGCGCATGCCTATATATTGATTATATAGTTTGGTGGTCGCAAAGCCCATGGCCAACCATCTTAGGAGAAGTGCCGCGACATTATCGCTGATGCTGCTGCGGACATGCGAGATGCGGCAGCCTTTGGTTGCGGGGTCTGTCCGGTTCTCTCTGCCCTCGCGACGATCCACCCCAAAAAATCAGATTCTGGGAATCGAACAACTTAATTATAAACACTTTGGGTTTGCGTTCATGTCCCTTTAGAAGGTTTACTCGTCATTTTGCAATAACTTCAACTCGGCCTCAAACCAAGGAAGATGGAGTTCAACAAGTCTTTGAGGACTACAAGTTTTACTACCCGGTCCCGGTGACTACAGAAGAGAGGGCACCCTTGAAGGGATTTCCATGGATCAAACCTTCAGATTTTCTCCGCACAATGCACAAGATGAATGACTTGTGCCACCTGCTGGGAGGTTATAGCCTCAAGGAGGCCAAACCGATGCTGCTAAACTTTTGGAAGAAGTACAGGGCTGCATACCCAAATTTCCAATTGTGGGAGCAAGTAGACGATGGCCACAAGGACTTGTCACAGTGTCTGCCACTTTTTCTTCACGGAGATGAAGGAGTCAGCTTCAAGAAAGGAGGCATATTTGTTTTCAGTTTTCAAGGGGCCATTGGATTTGGGTCTTCGAAAAGGGCAAAGGAGATGGAGCAGAACCTCAGGGCCTTAGACGAGGGGATTCCACTCAATTTTTTGAAGAATGCCCTTCAAACTCGAATTTTGATTTGCGCTTGTCCCAAGGAGAGGGGTGGCTTCCGTTTCAAGATCCAATTTTCATATTGGAAGAAGGGTTATACAATGGTTATAGAGTATATAGCATGGATGGGTTCCCAAATGCTTATACACGTTGGCCCCGGTCAGGAGCTCTACAGCGAAGACAGGAGGCTGTGGCATGCAATTTTTGAGTTTGTCACCGAAGACCTCGCTCAAGCGCAAAGACATGGAGTTCAGCTTGGGGGAGGTGAGGTCATCTACCCAATTATACTTGGAAACAAGGGGGACTGGAGCTACCTTGTTCCCTGGTCGATTTCAGTTTTAGCATTTTTGGGATTTGACACACCAGCTATTCAGTTTCAGGACTGTGAACCAACCCTATATATAAACAGTATATATTCATATCGGTTCAAGCTGGTATCCAGTCACGTTGCACAAATATATAGACACGTTTTGTGAAGAAAGGATTTTGTGGGCATCGCATAACCTAATCGAGCCGTATATACATGCTGACTTTCAGTCTTGGGACACCAAAGGTTGAATCTGCAAACCTTGATCGGTCCTACAGAAGGGCGCCAAAAGGAGCTGGGGAGAAGGATTGCGGAGCAGAAGGGGCTGGCATGTGCCACTTATGCATCTGCGGTCAGGGAATTGACTGGGAGGATTTGTGACTTCATCCTTGAACAAAAACATTCTTCTTTGAGCTTCCTTTTGTAAATTGTCGGAAGCACTGGAACACCCGAACCAATGGAAAGTATAGAAAGATGAACAAGAGCCCCTTGCGTGTTTCAATATGTGCATGTTTACCTTGGGGTCAAAGACTGGCCAGACTTAAATGTGTTGAAGCGTTTAATTCCCGGTCGTCAATGATCGATCCCAATGAGGAAAGCTGCTGATGAGGCTATGGACGCTTCATATGTTGAGGAGATCCAGACCCCATGGTCGCGAGAGTCTCCTTTGACAAGGCTCCTACTACACGACGCTGGACCGAATGGAAAGTCCAAATTCCACCAGATGGACATTTGGCATGCCATTCATCTTGGAATAGGCAAGTCCTGGATCGCGTCTGGAGTTCTCATGCTGCAAAAGATCATCCCCGAGTCCAACATCGACAAGCGGGTGGCAGTCATCGCGGCTGGCTACAAAGACTTCTGCAAACGTGAGAAAATAGATCCTGTGATCCGCAGAATCGACAAGGAGACCTTCGGACAAAGTTCAAAAGAGCGCACTGGAAGTTGGAACAAAGCCGCTGTCACATCCAACTTCATGCGGTACCTTGAAGATTTTTGTCGTGAGCATGCCGAGCAGATTCGGGGCGATGAACGTCTGAAGATTTTTGTTTCTTTCCAGCAATGGTGCGGGTTTGCTTTTAGTGAACTCTTTGGTCTCACTCTTTCTTCGACTGTTGAGGTTTTGTGTTCTCGTTCCTTCGCATACATGCATGCACTGAGGCTCACGGAACACAGTGCGTGAACCGCTTCATGAAAGGCATCTATGAGCAAGATGTTTTTATAGATTCTGGAGTGGCTGGCCATTTAAGCGATTGCTTGTACCAGTTCATTGCTGCCTATTGCTATCAGGCAGACGCAGCATTTCAGGCTGGAGAAGTTCTGTTTGCTCTCTTTCCCAAGCTTCATGCTGTCCACGAAGTGGCACATCGCATGCGCCATCAATCCAGAAGGAGTCCATACACGTGGAATCCAGCGGCAACGTCGTGTTCCATGGACGAAGATTTCATAGGGCGATACGCAACGTTAAGTCGTTGCGTATCGCCCAAACAGATTGCCAAAAGAACGCTCCAGCGGTATCTTTGCCAGATCCAAATCAGCTGGGCCAGAGCTTGAAGGGGAAAAGTTATAGAGTGAGAAGACGGAGAATGGACTCGGGAAGGGGGTGCTGGTGGTCTGGGTTTTCATGTGCTTTGGTATTTTGGTCAATGGGATTGGACTTTTGGGGGGCGGCCATCAAGGACCAGCTTCTTGCTATACTGCCTATACATTATGTTTTCTGGGGTGTGCAGAACACTCAAATATAGGCATTTTTCTATAGCAAGAAAGGCTAAGGTTCATGGACGTGAATAACCGTGCACCCTTCAAAATGGACGTGAACTGTCGTGAGTGGACGTGAATTTCATCAAAACCCATGAAAAGACATCAATTAGCACCATGGACAACAATAGGTGTCCACAGGGTGCCGCAGGTAGGCATATGTGACAGACATAAGCCTATATGTCTGGGTATCAGTACACCCAGGCCCCACACATGGTCAATGTATAGGCATATGTGTCTGGGTTTGGGTGTCCCTGTCTTCTTAAAGTTTGCGCGGTCGTCTTCCCTGTCTTCTTAAAGACTCCCGCGTGGGTCCATTTTGGAGCGGCGTGTTTGGGAGACAGATGGCAGAAAGATGGCATGCAGTCTCGAGTCTCGAGGGGACTCGGGCAGAACTCCGGGCAGAATCAAGCAGGTAAGGCTGTCGGCTCAATTGATTATAGGTTGGATCATTCTTTCACGTGGCAGCAGCTCTGCAGCTCTTCCCACAGCGTTCTACGCCCCAGACCTCCACGCGAGGGTTCTTGGTCTCGGGAGCGTCCAGGTTGAGGGAAACGCTGTGGAGTTGGATGCCCAGTTGGCCTCGAGATCCGCCGAAGTTCCAGTTTCTGTCTGGGCTGGCGGGTGATCGAAACACCAGGGTCGACGCACGTCGGATTTATCCATGTGATTCATGCCACCCAGACGCTCATTGACCCGAACCAACTGCTACATGTTTGAGGTCCAAAACCCTAGTTGTGAGGGTCAAAACATGTCAAAACCCTAGCTAACTGAGGGTCCAATGAGCGTCTGGGTTATCTAATATCTACATCGTTGATGGGGTCTGATTTGATTCAAGCACACTCTCAAAATCTGACCATGTCTACCAGGACCCTCCAAGGGTGCCCAATGGAAGCCAATAGGTAGTGTGGGTAGTCCATTGGACACCCCTTGGAGGGTCCAGGTATTTGGATCTATGTTCAGTTCAATCAGGCCACGCCGAACCACCGATGCGATGCCGACGCGGTGGTTCGCCCCATCCTTTGCCCCCAAGACCGGACGCTAGACCGACCGCGGCGCCGACTTCCGGCTTGGCAGGGCTTTCAGGCATCCACTTCCTTAATCATGCACGAGGTGAGGGGCGAGGTCACGAGGTGAGGCGCGAGGTCATGCTACTGATGGTCCGTTTTTGTGGGTCCAGTTATCAGCTTGTGGAGAGACCATCGTCGTCCCAAAGATTCATACACTGGAAGTGAAACGGCGCTCCAAAGTGCCAAAAAGGAAGCTGTGTGGGGTTCCGCGTCCCTGCTTGAAGCACTGGGCAGCAGCCCCTGCTACAGCTCCAAGGCTGGTTCTTTCATGGAGGGGCACCGACAACAGGTCTCAAAAATTAAGAGATAACTACAACACTGCTCTGGCGTCGGTGCTGCGCTAAAAAGGGACCTGTCCAATCAACATCATCCCTCCAAAATGTCCGTCAAACTCGGTTTGGTTTGGGCGGGTTTGTGTCCAGCATCAGCAAACCTGAAGGGTCAGGTTTGGGCGTGTGCCTCTCCAATCGCTGTTCAAGAAACATCTTTCAACTCGCACACCACCGGTTCCAAACAACTCCAGCTCCTATCAAAGCACTCAAACCTCCTGAATTGTTGCCACAAGGCGATCTATAAGCACAGTTTGGGGATAGTGCTTCTGCCTTCATCAAACCCCGAGCTTTTCCTTCACATCATTCATTCCTAATGAGTCCAGAACGAGCCCTAACCGCGCCGTCCCAAGGTTTGTCCGATGATCACCTTGCTTGCTCGATGCCATTGACCTCACAGCATCCTATCTCAGCATCCGATCCCACCATCACCATTGACATGTCGACACCTGAAAACCTACCCCTATGCGAGTCACAAACCTTAGTCTACTAGACCTTAGAGCCAGTTGGTCATACAAAAACATTCCGCAAGAATTTCAATAGGCCAGGGTGAAAAACCTCTATCTCGCCCAAGTCCACCACGATCTATCTCTCCGCGGACCACACACCGGAGGCGCCTATCCCACGCCTCCCACCGATGCGGTGCCACTGGGTGTCAAGTCCAAGACCATATCACCCACATAGGGTCTCACTCCGTGATCTGTCAAGAGCGCCGGGTCGTTCTCCCGGCTGAAGCCCGGTGGCAGCTGCTTCTCCTCGAGGACGGTCAGCTGGATGGTCAGCTTTGGATCGAAGCATCGAATCGGGGGGTCAGGGGATGGATGGGTGGGTAGCTCACACATTCATAAGAATTCCAGACCCTAGGGATCCAAGTACGTCCTCAGAAGCTACTTGGATCCCTAGGGATATATATATATAATATGAAACATGAAAGATGTGAAGCATCTCCAGTTTCGGGTATTCAAAGATCATCCATTCTTCAAGGGTCCTTGACAGCTAGCTATAGCTCTGGATTGAACATGATTGAACTGTTGAGATCTCCGGTTCCAAGATTCTAAGATGTGCCACTCGCTCTCAGCTCACTTGCTCAGCTTTTTGCATTTTAGACGCAAGGTTTAACATGGTTTAACCAAGAAGTCATGGCAGTCTCAAAAAGATGTCCAGTCATCACACAAATCGAGTCTCTATTTTTAGAATGTTCGATTTGTTCTTCCAGGAGTCACAAAGGGGTGTCCAATGAAGTACCCCACACTACCTAGAGGCTTCCATTGGGCACCCCTTTGTGACTCCTGGTCATGCGAAGAAAACAGCGGTTCCCGCCTTCACCGACCCTCTGCCACGGCCCGCGCCCGAAAAAGCCCCAACCCGCGTGCTCTCCAAGTGGCCGGCCCCCAAATGGTGAAGGTCCGTGGGTTGTCGCCCACTAAGGCATTGGTCACGAAAGGCACCAACGTTGGCACAAAGACTTCGCCCTGGACCACCTGACCGAGCAGCCCGCGACCGGCTGTGGCTCAACACGCCGTGCCTGACGCCTGACGACTGCGTGCCTAACGTGACTACACAGCCCAGCCCAGCATGGCTCCGGGCAAGAAGAGAACACCGGACTTCTGGACCGACTAGAATCCATGGCCATCTCCATGGTCTCCATGGATCATGGATCGCCCAGAATTCATAGATCTTTCAGATCTGGTATATAGTTTGGGACCCAAACGATCGATCTTTCGAAACACACCACGGACCCTCCATCCGCCCCCGGTCGTTCCTCGCCCATGCCGCTGGTCCGACCGGAGTCTCCGGTCCATGCTGTGACCGAGATCTCGCCTCAACCATGCCGCTGGCGCCAAAGGCGTAGACATAGATCTGCAAGTGCAGTGCCATGGTCTTGATCTCATCATCCCGCGGCGCCTGGCCCGAAGGAAGCGAAGGTCGCGGGATGACCACGAGTCTTGACTCGCGCGTGGATTCCAAGAGGTGCGGATGCGGATCTATGCCGCACCATGTATGTTGCATGATCCAACAAAACCCGGTGGAAAGGCACTGAAACGAACCTTAAAATAACAAGGGTGGAGCATGCTTGGCCGCACGGATCCCCTTGACCACGGCCTGACCCACACAAACTCACACCCACTGGGTATGTTGACTGGGTATACATAATATAAATATATATATATATGTCAACGGTGGATTTGGATCCGTTCATTCAAGAAGGGTTCATCATGGTTCATCAGGGTTCATCCCACCCACTGGGCTTTGGGATGCATATGAATACTTCTAGACCATTTGGGTATATCACATTCCCTTGCAACAGAGGATGATGGGAGGTTCCAGCCCGACATCTCTAAACCAACTGGGACACCCGCAATCTACACCTGATGGGAGGATCTTTTGGTGTTTACCCTCGTGGACCGTGTTCGGCGGCCTGGGCGCTCCGCCATGGGTGTTCAACTATGGGGACTCACTGGGACTCATTGACCCATTCGGGTCGCCTCTGTCTAAGTTGATCTAACTTGACAATCACTGTGGGTTGCCCATTCCCTCCGGTGACACATGTCTTCACTCAAAGAATCCAAATTGGACACATGTAATAGATGATCATCAAATAGCATCAGCAGGCCTTCAAGAAGTTGCTTTCCTCCTGGTAGCTCTTGCCCTCGTTCCTGGGAAGCGAAGAATCTTCGCAACAGGGAACTTCAAAAATAATTGTGCTGTTGACAATTCTTCTGATGACCCTTCTTGGCTCCTTCCCCAATCATTGCAACCCCCAAAAAGAGAGCAGCCCCCCATATTTTGCCGGCGATGTTGCTGTTCCTCAGTTCAGCTGCACCAAGCCACAACTACTCACCTGCCCCTGAGAAAAAGTCAGAATTCTCTGATCCCATAGGGCCTAAGACAGATCCAACGACCTAAGACAGATCCGCTGAAGCGCCCACCAGCTAGGCTGAACCTGTGGCGCAACGCGCTGGGACGCGCGGAACCGCGGACCCGCGGGGTGCCTCCGGTCTATGGAATCTCTGGATCTAGGCCTTTGCCAGCCTGCTCCAGTGTAACCCACTGAGCTATAGCATGCTATAGCTAATAACAAGCCTCTTAATATCCAAGGACCACGACTTACTTCCCTGGTGACCCTGCCAAGACTGCCAGGGGCTTTAAGCCCTCGCCAGGCGTCCGTTCGATGATGATGTGCGTGGAATGGGAGATGGGGTTGATGTGGTGGACCATGGGCTCAGGACCAATGTAGCCAAAGAGGTGGAACAGTGCCATGGCCTCACCGGGGGGGCTGATCGGCTGCCTAGCCTAGGGGCCTAGCTTGTATGCCTTGTGGTATCGCGAGTTTTTCAGGCCGGGTCCGGACTGCAGGGAGACTTGAACAAATGAGATCAAGACCTCAGCAGACACAGGGTGTCTCAAGCTTCTCCGCGCAGGCGTCGTTGCTGACCCAGTCGTTGCTGAGAAGACTTGGGAGGTCTCTGGATGTGGTCGATGAACCCGGAGCCCCAACTTCTTCCCCAGTCCCGAGGACCAGAAAGTACTTGGACACGACTCCGCACCCACCCCAGTCCCACCTTCGAAACGCAGGTACGACTGGAGCCCTAGAAGTATGTGATCACTTGGGTCACTTGAGTCCGCATCTAAGGCTATATACACATCAGCCACAAAAACTGCATGGCGCACCTTTTCGGAGACAGTGCCCTTGGAGCAGCAAATCAGCCCCAAGAAGAACTCATGGAGACTCACCCTCTTCTCCTCAAGGCGTTTCGGAAGAAACCAAGTTCTGTTCCTGGAAAGCGGTCCGGTTTGGGCGTTTGGGCGCCGTCGTTTTCGTCTGCCAAAAAAGGGTTGCAGTGTAGTTTTCGTGAATTTCCCTGAAAGGAGCTTGGAAGGATTCACTCACGGGTGTGAGTGGAAGAATGCCTCTGCACATCTCAGAAACCTATTCTAGGGCAAAGGCAAAAGCACCCCGCGCTGGACTGCGGTGTTTCTCTTTATCTGTTCCCGTCGAGTTCGGACAAAAGTGTGTGAAGTTGTGTATAGTTACTGATGCAAAAATCCGGAGTTTGCACAAATAAGGCATGCAAGGCAGTACTCCATTCATTCTTCCATCCATCGGTCATTGGTCAGTCCAGTTTCTCCCATATATGTGGCTGCATGTGGATGAAGAGTTTTCTCAAGGGAACCCTCCAAACTCTCATGCCATGGGGATTGCTTGACAAATCTCCTGGCCAAACTTGGAAAGGATAGGATATGTTCGTTCCAACTTCCTGGATTGCACAATCACTTAGCCCCCCGCCAACAATGCTGACCATGCAAATGGGACCTCCCCACTTAAGAACGGCCAGACTCACGGGTCAGTTTCATGTTTTTTGTCCATCATCTTCCCTTCCCAAGGCTCAATGGGCAGGCAGAAGTTTGCGAAAATCTGCTGCGCATAGGGGCCCCAAGATTCACCCGCAGCCTTGCGCACTTGCCTTGTGACCCAGCAGCGGCTGTGAAAGCCACGGCACGGCTGGGCAAAAGGGAGAAGGCCAGCTATAGAAACTCCCAGACCAGCCAAATGTGCGGCAGGAAAGTGGACAATGCTAAAAAACGCTTCTCGCAATTCAAACAGCAGGGAAGATTTATGAAGATTTCCTAGGCAAAAAAACCTGCGGATTCCATGAAAATGGCTTGCACAACGCCATCAAAGAGATTATAAGATGCATTTTGGAAAAGTGGACCATTGCAATTAGTCTTGGTGATGTCTTGGGTTTGGTGTCACACACTTCACCAGTTAAAGCTCAAAACAAAACACACATCAACACACTCTTTTCACCCAAAGCCGCCTCCGTTTTTTAGGGTGTCTGTGCGTGCCTCACACCAACAAGCACCAACAATCCCTCCGTGAAACACACCACATCACACCGTGCCACTCCCCACTCCGTGCCACTCCCCATCCCCCACCAGTGCCCAGTGCTACTCCGCGGCGTATCCCAGGTGGCCGCGTCCAGATGCGGCTCCGGCATCGCGCCCCGCGGCGCCGGCACGCCCGCGCTGCGCAGCACCGAGGGCGGCGGAGGCGTGGCGAAGCGCTCGCCCAGGACGGCGATCCAGCTACTGACCTCGGAGGCGTGGCGGGGCAGAAGCCCAAAGACAGCGGCAAGACCGGTAAGGAAGGGTGTCTATAGACCGGCAGCTTTTGTGAGGGGGTGTGTCCTTGCCGGATTGAAGCTGTGACCTTGCAAAAGGGTCACGATGCTCTTTGCATCTCTTGCGAGCCTCCTTCGAAGTGTGTGTGTCCTGTGACGTCTCTAGGTGGACTTGGGTGAGGTCGAAGAGATGTCTCTTTTGCATTCTTTTGCGCTCAGAATCTCCACTTACTCTCACACATTGTGTGTGGGGGTGTGGGCGGGTGGGCCTGCAACTTCGACCAAACATTGCAAAAAATCGCTGAAATCACCCTAAAATGTGTGTCGGCTTTCACTGGACACCGTCAACCACTGTGGCGAACACCGCCGAAGCGTTCGGCTCCAACGTTGGTGTCTCAGCGGCCGTGCCAACCAGGCTGGTGTCTACATCAGCAGGGCTCATCTTCAAGAGCTCATGGGGCATCAATCGGATAATGCCGGCCTTGTTGGTCTGGTCCATCTGCGCGGCGTTTGGTCAGGGTCGGGGGTGTCTGAGGCGCTGGAAAATGAAAGATCAATTCCGCCGCAAGCAGGGCACCAAATGACAGTTGGCCCGGGTCTTGAGTGGGTGGAAATTCGGAAAATTCTATGATGGCCAGCATCAGAATAGAACTGACCCTTGCGAAATTCTATTATAAATTAAATCGCAAGTCATGTAATGTAATAAGAGATAGAACATAATATATAATGCATTAAAATCTATTGAAAATTACTTAAGAAACTGAAGTGTCGGTCCCCAAAAAATATTGATATATACATCTCATGATCTGGAGTATCTTGAAAGGCTGGGTGGCCAGTGCCGCCGCTAACGACACCAAACACCCAAACGTGTGGGGGATGATCTGACGCCGCCTTTCTTTGATGTAGTATCATGTGGACTTTTGATTAATAAACCGACCCGTTTGAATTGGACATCCTCTTCATCTGGGGGGCTTATATATCAAGAGTCTACATTACAGGGCCTCAAGTGAGCCTGAGGTCAAACGAAATGTTGGCTCTTGATTTAATCAAGCCCCCCAGGCCTGAAGAGGATGTTCCAATTCAATCGGAAAGCTGTTGAATACAAGAGTCTACACTCTGAACGCCACTGACAGATGGCCCTCCTGGAGCCGCTGGAGATCTCTGCGGCTCGCCGAGGGCTGATATGTCATGTGTGTCTTTAACATTCTTTAACCAAAAGGGGGGCTGGCCCGACCTCTTCCGCCCCCCCAAAAAACGCCCAAAAAGGTGCCCCCTCCAAAGGACATGGGCCAGCATGAAGAAATTGCAGGATCTAAAGGCCTAGAACAAGGAGAAAACCTGGCCTAAGCAAAGAACCCAGAACAGTTCTTCTGGCCTTCTCGGTGCTGAACTGGAAGAGGAAGTTGTTGATGACCTTCATCACCTCGGAGCACGCCCCGCCGAACCCGGTGGAACCCGGCTCCTCCGAGGGCGTCACAACCCGATGAAGGTGTGCAGCGGTTTTGGAGGATAAGGGTTCAGGTGGTCATGGCATGTGATTCATATATGATGCATACATGTTCCATGACTTCTTCCATAGTTACACCATGTGGTATCATGTGGTGTGAGGGGTTTTCGATGGGCTTGAAAACGCAGAGAAACTCAGATCACAGAGTCCAATCCTGGATTGGCATGGACCCCCGACCCCGCCGCGTCTCGAACTTCATCCTGCCAGCCGCCATGGCCACCCACTCTCAGCCACGCTACGGTTCTGGTGGTGACCCGCTGATCACCTGTCTGTCCCATGCTGTTGGTGTTGGCACTCTGGTTGCTGGCGATGGTCTGGTTCGCTGCGCCCACACCCGTGGCGTTCTGAGTGATGTCCTTCAAGATCTTGTTCTGCTGCCTGGACCCGTCCCCCCCAAAAAAGGCAGCAACTGCCAGAAGCTTGAGTGATGAGCATGATCTACACCAGATATCACCAGCAAAGTTCAATTGAAAAGAATGCTCGGTGTGTCAAACGGAAGGTGGATCAAACATCATCTTCCCCAACGTCCACCCAGCACTTCGTCTCCCACACCCCCACGTCCGCCCGGAACCGCACCACGAAACACGTCCGCCCGCCTGTGTTGGCCGAAGTAGCGCTCCCAATTCTTCACCTCACGAGATCCAAATCCGTCGCCGCATCCGGAAAGGCTCCGATGTCAAGGTCTCCGAATCGATGTTTGGGTGTATTAGTAGAGGGTGGTCAAGCGCGCCAATACCCATGGCCACAATGGGAGGGCCTCTTTGGGCTTGCCTCCCAAGAAAGCAGGAGATCTCCGACCCCCCGATTCCCCACCCGAATCGCCAGGCCCAAGTTGCAGAGTTCTCATAGTCCATGGTGTGAAGCGCTCCCAAACCCACCTTGTCCGGCATCTTGGATTTTGCCTCATGGATGACGCGGAGCAAAATGGTGGCCGCGTGCTGCGCGGGCGTGGGTGAACGACGACCGGTGGACTGTGTACAGCGGTGTGCAGCAAAAAACGGGTGTGAGTTGAGCATCCAATTAGCAGCGATATCGAATAACTTCATGTAGACTCTTGATCAAATCAAACCCTTCTTATGAAGATGTTGAATTGGGGGAGGTTATGAATCAAGAGTCTACAGTAATTATGGATCTCATCTAGTTCGGGCTTGGAAAAGTCTGCCAGGTGACAGGACCCCCCCTCCATCTGCTCGCTGGCTCCCGTCAGGTCAAGACCAGGTCGACGCCGTCTGGGACTGGGGGCTTCAGGACCGACGTTGGCTCTTCGGTTGTGTGAAGAAGCCGAGCCGAAGGCTTCTTCTTGGATTTGAACATGGAAAAAGACATATTCACCCAGAAGGGCATTGGACCTAGGGCTATTACAAAAAAACAAGAACACATTTAGTAAGCAACACCAGGCACATCCAGGCACTGCAGGTTGACGGCACTCGTTCCAGTTGGGTGGCTTTGCTCAACCCCAGTGAAAACATGTGACAGAACAGCCCCCCAAATCGTCCGGTAAGCCAGAAGTCACCCATCTCACTGCAGCGGATGGATCTCTAGAAACGCGGATGGATGGAAACGCGGATGGATGGAAACGCTGATTGAAGTTGACCAGTAACGAACATTCTCATGGTGTCTCTACGGAGCTGAGAGAACCAACCTGGGAGTTCACCTTCGAAGCTTCGACCAGCTCTTGGTCGGCTCTTAAGTGGCTTCCACCGGCCCACCGGCAAACCCACCGGCTGCCCGCCGAGGCACGTCGTCCCAAAGCTGATACTCCGTGCTGGCCACTAATTCCACCAGGTAGGAGGGATCATAGATGGACTCAAAGAAGTGCAAGAGGCCTCAGGGAACATTCCTATTTTCAATCTGCCGGATCGGAGAGTTGTCAGAAAGTCCTTAAGAGTGATTCCCATACAATATGATACATCATACTGTAGGGCCACCTGGATGTTTTCTTCCGAAGGTTTTTGCTTTGTTGATGCATCTTCCATCCTCTCTGCACGTGTCTTGGAAACCTTGGAATCGTCTACCGCTCGCCCTGCACGACTGTGGGTGCCAACGACTGACACCTACGGCGCCGTAGATCGTCCCCAACGACAGGGCTTTGACCGGTTCGTGGGGGCTTTGACCGGTTCGTGGGCGACTTGGATGAGGGGCTGTTGTGGGGGCAAAGGCATATGGGCACGTGTCAACATGGAAGGAGCTCCAAAACACATGTATATACATTGAAATTTTGTGGCTCATATCCTCCATGGCTTTTGCCTAGGAAGCTCTTTTTTCTGCCAGGATGTCCCCATGAGTTGGGCTCTCACGATGTCGGTCGCGCACGATGTGGCATCCAGGGATCCAGGGAGTCTTCGAAAGGGAAGGCCAAGAAAGGGGAGTCCAGTCGACCATTTTTTTCATAGTCTATTTTAGTAGGTGATCCGGGAAAAAAAGAACAAACAACATGCATGTCCTTTACTGCAGTGTTGCCAAAGACGGTCGAACTGGACTTCTTCGGAAAGGTTTTCTGTGTTGGGACATGAGCAGTGAAACCTCAAGCTCCGACGTTCCTCTGGTCCAGCTGCAGTTCTGAACCTCCATCGCGCTTTGGCACTTCAGGATGGTCTCCTTGCATGCCATCACACCTGCCGAACACCATTCGCGCTCGCACCGATGGAAAAGCGTGCGGGCACCTATTACTCCTTCCATCTCCTTCCACATCCCTAGACTTCCCAAGACCATCAAAAGAAAGGTTGACCTGGTTTTGTAGTGTAAAATCCTTAGTAAAACAATGGTGGTTCGGCATTCAGCCTATTGAATCAATGGTGGTTCAGCGGAAGCCGGACTCCTAGTCTAGAGACATCCTTCCACCATCCACCTCTTCCAACCCCCGCCCACCATGCCCGCGCAACTGGCAACGGTGCCCACGCTTCTTCAGGCTCGGACCTCCAAAGGCCAGGTCCAGAAGCGCATGCCTCGCGGGTTTGTAGGACGGGAGGTCGGGCCGCTGGGCGTCCGCCAGGAGCAAGTCCCAAAAGCCTCGGTGCATGGCAGGACGGTCCAGAGCTCTCGGACGACGTGGGAGCTGGAGGTCTTGGGAGGGAATAGACCTGTCAAGACCCTCTGGATCTCTAGACCTCTATACCAGCACCTTCATGTCGGGGTGACCTGGCTGGAAGCCCCTACACCAGGGACCATAGATCTGTTTGGATCCAGGACCTGGACCCCATGGGGACATGACGACCTTTTGGCCCTCTAGCCTCACAAGCCTTTGAAGGATCACTCTCACAAGCGTTTGGGGACGGCGCGGTCACTGTGGGCGGAACTGTTCGGTCAGGGACTTTCTTGCTTCGGTGGATTCAGTGGATTCTGATCATCTTCGACCGACTGGACTGGTGGTGGGGACACACCCGGATACTTGGTTGCAAGGCTCCATTTTCGGTGTTTGGTGAGATTGGGTGAGGATGAGTAGGTGGTATGTAGATGACCCTGGTGGAAGCTTGGAGTCTTCTGTATGTATGCATCAGATCCTCCTCCAGTCACCCACCACTCACTGGCCTAGAGGCCTCCCATACCTCAAGCGCAAGCGCTGGGCTTCAAGCCCTAAATGATCGGTCTTCCTGATGGTCATTCCATGGTTTTGGCTGGTCACATGGTCATTTCAGGGCGCCTCTTTTTCTCTCAATCAAGGGTTCCGGCACCCGCCGGTCTCGATGCCGCCCGAAGAGTGCGCCAAGATGCGGAAGAGCGAGGTCACGGGCAACACGAAGGCGAAGAGCCGCATGAAGGCGCCGTAGAAGAGCTCAGGTGCGGTGAGCTCAGATTGATTGGTTGAGGATGGTTTTGGGGGTATATTTTTGGAGGGTCGGTCCCCAAGTAGAGATATTTGTGGCACGGTTTTTCCAATAGATTTTGAGTGGTGATTTATATATACTGTCCTTGATATATCTCTTTGGGGACTACATGGGACCTATATAGGTACTTTCAGACTATATGATTATATGGCACAAACCTCCTAAAAGTGTCTTTTCGATAAGGGGAGGTAAAGTCGAGCTGGACCATGACCTGGTACTTGTGGAAACCTGGGAGGTTGAGTCAGGTTGAGCTCACTGTTTGAAAGATGGCTCTGTCAGAATAGTCAAAGGCCTTCTTGGCGCAAGAACGTGCAAGAGCGGTCTTCATGTATGTCATTGGCAAACAAATATTTGTATAGACGTCTTCTACCACTCTTCTGAAAGGCACCCCCGCTCTACATATCTCTACACCCTCTATATACATTCCGTGTCCACTTTTACACGCTGGGCCATTGCAAGCATTCCCCCAAAGGCACAGGAAGGTGGAAGAACATCCTCTTCCCAACCTGTAATGCTGAGGTTTGAGGAACCAATGGCTGTTCGGAGCGTCTGGGTGTGTACTTATAAAGGGTACTGAACCACACCAAGGGACACAGGGCAGTTGGAAGCCCAAACTCTGCATCTGCACCCAAATCTCTGGCTCAAAGCGGGCCTCAGTGTCCATGATGTGTCGCTTCTTTCTTCAGCTGTGATGCACATGGGACGCCATGTCTGACCCAATGAGGAAGGCTGAAACAACCTATTGCACCCCCAGCCGCGCCTCCCGCAACACGACGACCAGCTCTTAGAATGAGGAACATGGACACACTGCCCCGCATGATAACAAACAACTAAGACCAACATTTCTTCACTCACACCTTGTTTCATCTTGAATTCCAAACCATCTGAAGACATTCTAAGGCGATACGACATGATATGAACAAACACGCAGAAACAAAAAAACATACATCAAAGCAATCAAACCACCGTCAGTCCGATCCACGACCACCAAAAACCAAGCACAAACGGTTGGCCCAAGAACGCGGTGTTTGCCGAACGAGCGGATTGTGCCCCTTTTTGCTCTACAATTCCAAGTGGGGGACCAAACAGAACAGAAAGACTTCATCCATTGTCCGTCAACCCCACCCCTTCTGCCCTCCTTTCGGTCTGCCCTCCTACCCTGTGCACATCGAATGGTTTCCCTCGATCATTCCACCCTCTTCCACCCTCCTTCGCACCCGGACGCCCCCCGATCGATTTCCTTCCGTGCCAGGCGCCAAGATGAAGGTCAAGCGGTGCACGTCGTCGATGGCTCCACGCCGGTCTGTCAGCTGGCCCTCTAAACCTTGGGGAGACCATGGAGTAGCAAAGACCATGGAGGCCTGGTGAAGGTCAGCTTGGATTTGCTGTCCAGGAACCTGGAACATGTAAAGACATGTAAAAACGTATTCCCCACAAGGGTATTGAACCAAATGGGGAAATCAAGGATCACCTTAAGCAAAACCAGGTCATGTCCATGACACTGATTGGTTCCATCTTCAGGGTTGAGTCTAGTTTCTCACCATCAGTAACTCACCGTTTTTGGGCGAATCGCTCAACCCCCCTAGACCGGGCGGCTCGGCTCAAAGGAGATCGAGTCCGTCGCTAACCCCCGACTCGCAGTGTCCGGACTTGGGGGACCCGTTCTGCAACTAAGCTACGAACGGAACAAGTGCCTCGCTTCGTTCGTAACAAGTGCCTTACTAGTAGTAACAAAGA